ATCGAATTGTGACCTCCTGGTTCATAGGTCAATGCTCAACCACTGAGCCACACCAGCTTGGCTGAACAAATACTCTTTAAGGGTCCCCATTAGTTATGCATTATTCTAGGTGCTGTGAATACTGCAGTAAATAAGATAAGCAAGAATCCTGGCCCATAGGGTTTATAGCATAAGAAGGGCAAGGGTCATAGGCAGAGAGAATCAACTAATAAGTGAATAAGTGGAGAAATAATAAGTTGCATAACTAAAACTGATGGATGTGATAGAGGGGGAGTGGTTAAGGGGGGTCTTTTATTTGAATAGCCTGAGATGATTATGTGACAAATGAATTGCCGGGAGCCGGTCCATGCTTGCTGTTTCAAGGGACCGGCATATATGGCATACTGTTCTTAATATGTTTGCTCACCTTCTTGGCACTATGTGTTTTAACCAAGGTCTCTGAGAAAGGTTGTTTCCCAAGGTAGGGTTTTCCCCCTGAAGTTAGGGAGGGAATAAAACCTCTTAACTAAGTGCCAGGCGGGTAATTAATCACTTTAACTATGAACAATCATGCTTAAGCTACATAATCTTTACTCCCTGGAATGGAGATAAGAAACGCCCTAACCTTTGGAATAGAGATTGATAGGATTGAATCAACTGGTATAAATACAGATGTAACAAGACAGCAAGAGTCAGAACTTAGAATACAGAGCTTAGAACACAGAACTAAGAACACAGAACCTACACAGAACCTACAGACAGAAGAACGTCGCTGGAGAGAACATGGCAAAAGATCCTGGACTGAACCTGACTACAGAAATTGGCAAGAGAACCTGACTAGAACCTGGTGACTGAACCTGGCTGGAGAACCTGGACAGAACCTGGCTGGAGAACCTAGCGAGGGAACATGGCTACAGAACCTGGCTGGAGAACCTAGCAAGACAACATGGACACAGAACCTGGCTGCAGATCCAAACCAGAACTTCGCTGGAGATCCAGACCAGAACTTGGCTGGAGATCCTGGCTAGAGATCCTGGCTAGGCTGCTGATCAACTGAACGCTGTCTCTGTGTCATTCCTTCTTCGCCGACTCCATCCACACCTTTGGGGACCCCTGGACCTGCTGGGGTTGGACCCCGGCAATGAATAAATAAATGAATGAATGGAGAAAATAGGTACACAAATCTATATATAATATATATAGCCTAAGCGACAGTTATGACTGGATGACTGGCTGATAACTACGATGCTCACTGACCACCACGGGGCAGACGCTCATAGCTGCCCCCTGGTGGATAGTGCGCTCCCACAGCCAACCTCTCACGGCTGGCCAAACTCCCTAGGTCCCTCTCCCAGGCCAGCCCCAATGGTGACTGGGCAAGATGGCCCTGATCGGCCGGGAGGGGCCCCACTTGTGCACAAATTTGTGCACTGGGCCTCTAGTGAGTAATAAAAGGTAGCGAGAGATGCTAATGATAGTGTTTCAAATAAAGTGCTGTGTAAGCATAAATGAAGAAAACGTATGTAACTAGAAAGAATTTAGAACATTCTTAAAGCTAGATAGGGTTTTGATAGATGAATATGACAAAGACATTTCTGACTGAGAAAACAAAATGAAAAGAAAAAAAGTAAAAGGGGACACCTGCCATATACAGCCAAGGGAATGAGGAGCAGAGAGGCGAAAGGCAGGTAGGGGGAAGCAGCTTTTTGGAAGCAGAGGAAACAGATTGAAGCCATCTCGTAGTGGGCCTTAAGAAAAAGTTTTAATTAAAAAAAATTATCCCAGGCAAGGAACTTGACTAGACCTTTCTCCAAATAAGATATGCAAATGGCCAGCAAGCATATGAAAAGATGCTCAACATCACTAATCATCAGAGAAATGCAAATCAAAATTAAAATGTCATACCACCTCACACTGATTAGGATGGCTACTATATGAAATAGCATGTTGGTGAGGATGAAGAGAAATTGGAACTCTATGCACGGTTGGTGGGATTGTAAAATGGTGCAATCTCTATGGAAAAGAGTAGGGAGGGTCCTCAAAAATACTAAAAATGGAACTAGCATATGATCCAGCTGCCCCACTTCTGAGTATATATCCCAAAGCATTGAAAGCAGGGTCTTAAAGAGATATTTGTATGTCCATGTCCATAGCAGCACCATTTATAATAGCCAAAAGGTGGGAGCAACCCATTCTATCAACACAAGAAAAGACAAGCAAAATGTGGTATATATGTACAATTAAATATTATTCAGCCTAAAAAATGAAGAAAATCTTATCATATGCCACAATATGGATGAATGTTGAAGACATTATGCTAAGTGAAATGAGCCAGTCACACACACACACACACACACACACACACACACACACACACCAAATTCTGTGTGATTCCACTAGGATGAGGTAGCCAATGTGGTTAAATTAATAGAAACAGAACATAGAATAGTGTTTACCAGGGGTGGAGGAGAGGGAAGTAGGGAGCCTGTTTAATGGGTATAGAGTTTCAGATTTGTAAGATGAAAAACTCCTAGAGATCTGTTTTACAACAGCGTGAGTGTACTCAACACTGATGAAGCATACACTTGAAGATGGTTCGGAGGGTAAATTTAATATGTTTATCAATAAAAAAATTCAGTTAATTTCTCAAAATTGTTATGTTACTTTTGTATTAAACTTCTAAGAAGTTGTATGTGCATGTGTGAGTGTGTGTTAGGTTGCAGGAAAATATGTATCTGCTTGGATCTACATTAACCTCATTTCTCTAAACCCCACCTATATGTATCCTTGAAACTTGTCCCATATTAAGTAATAAGCTCGTCTAACCAAGGGGACTTTGACACTCACTTCATCAGTCTTCATCACTCTTGAATGATCATTATCTGCATGTTGCAAAAGATCCCATTATATAGGGTGTCCCCCCAAAATGTATACACACACTTTGAATAATTATAAAGGCAGTGCTTATTAAAATGCACTTCATTTAAAAAATTGAGCTATCAGCTGTTAAAGTGTGTATATATTTTTTGGGAACACCCTATATTATCTTCCCAATAAAATGCCATCTGATCATAGGACCTTTCTGCCTCATCTTTATGTGAGTCCTGAGACATTTTTCTAGTGTAAGATTTTCTAATTTTATACATTTACATAATGTCTAGGCCCAATACATATTAATTATTAAATTTAATGTATTCAACATATGAAAATTAAATATTTGATATATACTAGTAAGCTTGCCTCCTATTTATATGGATTAAAATAACTATAATTAAATAATATAAACAAGTAAATGTTTAGTGTTTATTTCATTGCCTCATTACTGCATATTCTATTTTATAGGTATTAAAGCTCATAAAAACACACAAGGTGAATAATTAATCACCTTATCTTCTACACTGGGTCACAAGTACTGAGAGAGAGCACATAACTTTAAATATGTTTAATTTTGGAAGCCTTGTGTATTCACTTTTGTATTGATTTAAAAAATTTTCTTGCTTTTGAGAGCTTTCCTACTATAGATACCTGCATTTTGTGTTAACACAAGAGAGATACTTTTCATTGTACAAAACTGGCTCACTTTATGCAATCTGAACTTGAGACGCTAATGAATGTTTCTCAGGTTTTAAGATAATATGCTAATGTATGGGAGCACCTACTGGTGAAGGATGATACAGTCCTAAAGACTGATTTTATTGGACCTATAATTTAGACCAAGTTGAGGAGCATGAGAATTATGAAGCCTTTAAGTGTGTAATCAAGGAACCCTGCTTATTGCTTGAATGTTGCACCAGAGTGGTCTAAGGCAGGAAATACAAGAATTGAGAAGATACTACATAACAAATATGTCATTTAGATGGCACCGCAAAATCTAATAGGAATATGATTATTTGGTATTGATGTACTAAAATGTTTCATGAGGCTGAGACCAGGTCTGCCTTATTCACTTCTGAGTCCCGAGCACAATAACTGGTGATCTTGAAAATGTTAGTAAATATTTACTGAATGAATGTTAACCAGTCTGGACATTTTTTCCTCAAAACATGTTAAAATTTGCTTTTTGTCTTCCTCTTATAGGACTGCTTCCATCATTTATAATAAAAACAATGAAAAATACAATTTGTGTAATGTCCAGATAAATTTCTTTTAGATGAAAAAAATGCATTTGTTTGGTTAACCAGAAAGTTTGAACCAGTTAAAAATATACTTACAATTTTAGGGTTAAAAACAAATAATGAAACTGACCTAAACTAATTAAAAGGAAGGTGATGGGGAGTTCCATAGGCTTTGTAACCAAATATTATTAGGTTCAAATTTCAGCTCTATAGCTTTGTGGCTGTATGAGGTTGGATGAATTACTTAGCCTTTCTGTCTCGACTTTCCTCTCATTGTATATACAATGCTTTGTGCCTTCTTTCTTGGTAAATAATAGATTAGTAGCTATTGGCTTTTTTCTCTGAGGGTGCTCATTTTCCTAATTTTCACTGTAAGCTTCTTGGGACAGGGAACATATTTTATTTATTCCTAGATCCTAGCACAGTGACTGGCATAGGTTGACACTTAATAAATGTGTGTTGAATTAATAAAGAAAATAAATATTTAAGCAAATCCTTGGTGACTATTGTGCAAAGTCCTACATAAGGTTGTACAATATTCAACTTGTAACTGAGGTGTATGGAGACAGATACCTGACAGAGTCACTTAAAATACAGAAATAGGGCATTTTCAACCCCTGGAATTCCTTTGATTAATCAAGGTTGTTTTTTTCATGAAGCTTAAGAAATTCACAAGGAATGTTGAGCTTAAGGAACTGCACATGGGACAGAGACTATATTATAATGCATTCACACCCAGACACATTCTAGTTTAGCTACGTAGTGATTTTTACCATTAAGGACATTTTTTCTCATGTGCTTTCATTAACACAACCCCTGCCGATAAGCATAGATAACTGGTTTTGAAAATTTCAGATTAAAAACTGTAAAGCAGTTTTATATTTAGTCATCAGGAGACACCAACAATGAAGAAGGGATTTGTTTTTAATAAAAATATTTTATACACCCACCTGAAAATTCTCATGTGGCAAATAGCACACGTCCAACTCTAGAACATACTGGACATTCCTAAATGTGCATCAGCAGAAATGTAAATACCCTGGGTTAGGTGAAAGGACCTTACACTTCCACATGTGGATAAATCTTGCTCATAAAGTATCAAAGGCATCTCTTTCCATCAATGGTTTAATAATCATGACCATTTTCTGCACACATCAGAAGTATGTAACATTCTCTGGATTTGGGTTCGAATGTGTAACCAAGTTTTCTAGGCTTATGGAATTAAAAACTATTCCAGGTCTTAACAAATTCTTATTGCCAAATATGGAATCATACTTGGAACCAAAGTCACAAATAAAAAACTAATGTTCATTTTTTACCTTCACTGGCAGAGCAAAATTTGACACAAAAACCAAATTACTATCAAGGGAAAACCATTCCCATTGTAAACAAATGTAAACTTGGGTTGAATTTCAAGATATATCATTCTCCTTGAGATTACTGGGAAGGGATTTTTACACAATATCTTGTTTGCAAGAACACATACTATTTTAAACTCATGCTTGGCATAACACTACATGCTGTAGAAATAGAATGCAACATTTTCACCAAATGCAAGTTATTTTCCAAGTTTAAAAATTAACCAAAGTGCACATTAAGAATCAAGCTTCATAAGCTTGCAGCTTTCTCTGACAAACAAACAAACAAAAACAAACAAACAAACAAACAAAGAAGTCAATAGTTTGGGAAAATAGATAACATGGTTTCAAAGTAGTTTGAAAATTAAAGTATATTTTCTTTTTCCGTTCCTCATCTATTCCTTGTTATATTCAAAGATGGTTATTTTGCTTCTTAATCTTGTTCATATTTTTTATAAAATATAAGAATAGTAAAATATGGTATATGTTATATAGTACATAAATAGAAATTCAAATCACAGATATTTTTCCTCTCCAAATTAGAGGATATTGGTCCTAGAAAAAAATTCAGAAAATAAAGAGGCACAAAAAGTTCATGGAAAACATGTTTCTGTTCAACTTTAACATTTAAATTATAGTGTGTGTAATTTTTAGTACAAAATTTTAAACATCCTTGAATCCTGTACATATAAATGAGTCTTATTTACTTCAGCTCATTGGTAGGATATATTACATAATTACAAATCTAATATTTGTTTTGGCATTTTGCTCAAAGTTTTAAAACATAATATATTGGGTCCTAAAGCCTTTATTTTTCAAATTATGAAAATTAAGGCATGAAAATTATACATATGTTTCAAATGAGGACTTTTCATTTTCCCTTAAAAGTTAACTTATGGATGCTTGCCTCAGATTTTCCCCCAAAGCAGTATAAACTGGATAACTGCTAACATAGAAATTATCGTTAGTGGGTAATTTTTATTAAGTTTAAATTTTGGTTCTGTGCTTATTCCTAAACCTTTGATACTTGCCTCGCTTTTATAAAAGAAGTAGTATTAACTGACAAGTGAATAAATGAGTAGCTAACTATACTAAAAGAAAAGGTTAGAGGTACTGATTATGATTTTATATTGCATTCCTTCATATAAGGTAGTTACATTTATTGATGATTTCAAGTGTCCTAGTTAGCATGGCAGAAATTGAAAATGTCATGATGTTCTCCCTCAATAATCAAGAATGACTTCCAGGTACCCTAACGCCTGAAAAGTCTGAGAATCACTGACTTAGCAACTATTAGGCCTGTCTCTAAATATGCAAATAAGATTCTAAACCACTAACAGCTGATCACTACCCCCCTTTTTTTGTCCCCTGGCCTAGCAACATGGTGGTATAGACAGTAAGATGAAAATGGCAGGCCTGGTTTTTGTACTTCAAACTCGAGGGCACATGAATAGATAAGATTTATTTCCTATGACTATTCCTACGCAGATTCTTTCTCATTATGTTCAATAAATATTAACTTTACCTACAACACAATTAATTCCCCTTCTGATTGCTGTCTGTGGAGGTAACTTAATATTATGAGTGCATAGTTGCTAAAAGATTTGCTAACTTTCTTGGCTCATTTTAAACCACAGACCAATGACTTAATTTCCATACATTGTAAACAATAATCAAATAACAATGTTAACATTACCAAATTTATTTTTCCCCCATATCTCATCTAACTTTTATTGATATTACAGCCCAGTTAGATTTTAAGGATAATAAGAAGTGGAAATAGCACTGAACCAGGGCATGAGGAGAACTTCATTTGATCCCTGGATCTGTTCCTAAATAAAATGCATAATTAGGGCAAGTTTTTCATTTTTTTCAGAGCAAATTAAGAAAAACAGTATCTGTCTCAAAAGATTGCCACAGGATGAAAATAAAATGATGTGAGAATTGTAAACTATAAAGTGTTATTCCATTGGATGCTATTACTACTATGATTTAGATTCCTATATTCTATTATTATAGTGCTGTTTTTAAAATGTGGTAGACTCCTTTGTGCACAAAAACGAACTAAGTATTTCTGAACAGAAGTTGTGATAGATAATGCTGCCAAGTAAAGTAACAGGCTGAGACAAACATCGCTTAGAAACTCCTTTTCTGTATTGGCAATTCTCTTTAAAATGAAAGAACGGATTAACAAATATGTAAGAGTTTCATGAAAACTAATTTGGTATGTGCCCACATTAAGACACTCATAATAACCTAAAATTAAAAATATGGCATTGTATACATAGATAGCCAGGCTTCTTCCTTTTAGCCATTGCCATTAAAAGAGTTTTTTCATATTCAAATTATTGATCAAACTGTCAGCTATTTTGTGCACAGATTTAATTGACCACTAGCAATGATGAAACTGAATTGTAGCTATTAAACCTAATAACCATAAATAGACTGAAATGTTATTCAAACTTCTAATTTTATGCATCTGATTTCAACCCAAATGCTGCTCTTAAGTTGTTCTGTTCTGAAGATTCCTGCCACATTTGTTAAGGACTTCAAGCACATCACATACACATAGTAAATTGGGTATTCACCATTAATTCACTTAGAAAACCCTGTTTTACAGGTGAAATAGGTTTTCACCAGGAATTAGTACAAGCCATGTTGACTAATCTTACATAATGCATTTGCTTATTTTCTTCTGAAAAGTCAGGTCATATTTTTCCTTGATGCTAAAATCTTACAAAATATTTCTTACTGCTTTTTTCTCTGTGCTTAGCTTAACACAATGCATGCACTTACAACAGAGTGTCTCTGAGCCTTTACCTAAAAATAAACTCTTAAAACATGTCAAAACAAATTATGATGTTTTATCTTCATTTTTGATTGTTTTCAGCACTGAGTCTTCACCCAAAATTTTACATAGTTCATCGAGTCTCTGCTGCATTTTGGGAATTCCAGCTAGCTGAGATTCTAGTTTTTGTTTTTCTTCACTCAGTGTTAAACGGACTGCAGTATTCAATTGTTCAAAGCGCCAACCTCCTTCACCATCAAACTGTAATAAATGAGTGTGGTATTTCCTGTATAATCAAAGTGAAATAATATTATTAGCAATAATTGTGAAAAGCGATTTTAGTTATAGATTTATCATTCTAATTGATTTCCAAAAGTAAATTTTATGTAAGATGCCTATTTTACATTTGATTTTCAAGAATCCCTCAAGAGGTTAAATTTTGTGATTTTTTTTTTTTACCCCAAAACTCATTAATCGCTAGGAAATTCTACTGTTTATGTTAAATTTATTTTATATCTGAATAGTTATGAATTGCAACATGCTGTTGCATCTATTTAATTTATTTTTATAACCTACTATGGCTCCTGAATAAATATCAAAACATACTTAGAATGGGAATAAGGAAAGGATGCTGAGGGGGGAAAAGTAAACATTTTAAAGTTTATATACAGAAAAAAACTAAGAAAGATAAAAGAAAATATGATTCCAATTCATTAATATACAATCCTTTGAGAATGAATTATTCATTATTCTACATAAACATTTCTCAATAATTAAAATTTTTAAACATTAAAAAACCAAACTTTTTGATATAAATCTTTTAAAGCTATATCTATGCCTCCATATAATTTAATCTCTTTTCTCGTGGCTCAGGTTCATACTTAGGAACTTTAGAGAAGTAAAGAGACGATTTTATTAATGAGCCAGCAGACACTCCATCCTCTCCTACAAATAGGCTAGGTCACCAGTCTCTGGGATCTGTGGGGCTGCCTGGGGGAGTACTGCTGGCAGAGTTGGCCTCACATGGCTGAGCCACTGAATTTTATCACTGTGCTGAAGTGGCCCATGTTCTTACATGCCCTCAGTTTTTCTGTCTTTCCCTTATAGTTTTTCTCAGTTCTTATTCCCCTCTAGGGTCTCATCTGTCATTATTTACTATGATCAGTGGACTTATTTTAGTAGCTTTTATGGTTTTTTTAATTGCTATGATTCATATACCATAAGTTCATTCCTTTACAGTGTAAAATTAATGATTTTTAGTATATGCACAATCTCATGCAACCAGCACCACTATCCAAAACCAGAATATTTTCTCCCCCCACTCCCCTCAAATAAACCCCATACCCATTAGTGGACCTTCCCCATTCTGCTCGGCCCCTGCCAATCACCAATCTCCTTTCTTTTTATGGATATGCCTATAATGGTCATTTCATATGCATAAAATCATATGATATGTGCCTGTTTGTGACTGGCTTCTTTTACTTAACAAAATGATTTCAAAGTTCATCTAATTGTAGCATATGTTAGTACTTTATTAGTTTTTATGGCTGAATAATATTCCATTGTATGTTATTGCACATTTTTAAAAATCTATTCATTAACTGATTTTCATCCCACGTTGGCTGGATGATTTTAACATGATGGAAGATGGAGAAACTAAGCTAGGTTAAACTATGTCTAAAAGACTAAAATCACTCTCAAGCTGAAGGTTGAAGTTCAAATGTTTGTTAACATGTGGCGGGGATTAATGATCTTTTTCACATACTTTTGAGGTTTTTCACATGCTATATTTAGGTTTTTTAGTTTTCAAAACTTTGACCTCCCAACAGGTGGGGACCTCACAAAAATTAAATGGTAAACAATATAGTTCTATGTCAAAGGGAAAAAAGTGAAAATGCTGCTATTAAAAGATGAGAGCTAAAATAAAAGTAATGAAAAAGCAAAGGAAGGATTATCATACAAGAAAGAGAAATAATGGTAAAAATATCATTTTTAAAATTTCATTCTCAACTTTTCTCGGGCCTTCCTAACCTTGGATCCACAACAGGGAGCAATTTTAGGATGTAGGTAGTTCAGATCTTGGGCAACCTGTATCTCCAATGTATAAGAAAGATTTGGCTCATTATTCCAGTCCTACAACATTATTTGATTTCTACATGGAAGGAAGAAACTATATAGTTTCAAAAGTGTGTTCCAGATTATAGGCTAAAATAATATTTCAGGGTTTATCTTAGAGGAATTTAAAAGAAGCTACTGTATTAACTGAGGCTCATGGGTAATAATCGGCAGACTTCCTGCACAAATAGGATAAAGCACAGGAAAGTGGTAATTAAAGAGCTGTAATTCTATACAGGAACCAAATAATTTAATAAGCCTCTCTAATTTTTGAACACTTCCGAAACTAGTATTGATTTTAATCTCTACAAACAAAAATTACCCATTTGTTGTTATGGTGGAAAATATAATGTATCTTTTCCCTCTTCTGAAATCTTTTCAAGGGAAATAAGAATTTCATCTAGGGAGAACGAATAATCATAAATGATATTCAATCATAAATTGACTAAACTAATTCATAGAGCAGAGCTAAAATGATTTTAGTTTCATGAATAAATATAGTGTGGGTAGCTGCAATTAAAATGTGTTTTTTTTCCCAGCGGGCGTGGCTCTGTGGTTGAGCATCAACCTATGAACCAGGATGTCATGGTATAATTCCCGTTCAGGGCATATGCCTGGGTTGTGAGCTTGATCCCTAGTCGGGGGCAGCTGACCAATGATTCTCTTTCATCATTGATGTTTCTATTTCTCTTTCCCTCTCCCTTATTCTAGGAAATCAATAAAAAATATTTAAAAAACCAAACATGTTTTTCTTGTTAAAAGGTATAAAATTATGGATTTTGTTACTTGCTTAAAATACTATTTGTCCACTACACACCTGTTAGAGTGGCCAAAATCTAGAACACTGACAATGCCAAGAGCTAATGGAGCTGTGGAGCAACAGGAAATCTATTTCACTGACAATGGGAATGCAAAATGGTACAGCCACTCTGATAGTTTCGCAGTTTCTTACAACAATAAACGTACTCTTACCATACAATCCAGCAACTGTACTCTTTAACACTGACCACACAAAAACCTGCGTATGAATGTTCATAGCAACTTTATTCATAATTGCCAAAATTTGGAAGCAACCAAGATGTCCTTCAGTAGGTGAATAGATAAAGTGTGTAAATCCAAACAATGGAGTACTATTAAGTGCTAAGAAGAGCTATTTAGCCATGAAAAAACATGGAGGAAATGTAAATGAATATTACTGAGCAAAAGCAAGAAATGGACAAGGCTACAAACTGTGCAATTCTAATTATATGACATTCTAGAAAAGGCAAAACTATGGAGACAGTAAAGCTCAGTGGTTTCTAAGAGGTAGGGGAATGGAGGGAGGAACAGGCAGAACACAGAGGATTTTTAGAGCAATGAAAATATTCTGTATAATACTATAATGGTGGAGACATCTATATATACTAGAGGCCCAGTGCACGAAATTTGTGCACTGGTAGGGTCCCTAGTGGCTGCCAGCTGCCAGCTGGGGTCTCCCTTCCCTGGCTGCCGGCTGCCAGCCAGGGCATCCCTTCATTTCCCGCTGCCCCCTGGTGGTCAGTGCACATCATAGCAAGCAATCATACTCCTGGTCAGTCAAACTCCTGAGGAGACACTTTGCATATTAGGCTTTTATATCTATAACTAGAGGCCCGGTGCACAAAAATTTGTGCACTCGGGGAGGGGGGGAAGGGGGTCCCTCAGCCCAACCTGTGCCCTCTCACAGTCTGGGACCCCTCGGGAGATAACGCCCTGCTGGCTTAGGCCTGCTCCCGGGTGGCAGAGGGCAGGCCCAATCCCTAGGTGCAGCCCCTGGTTGGGCTCAGAGCAGGGCCGATTGGGGAGTTGGGGCGCCTCCCCATGTCATGCACAGAGCAGGGCGGATCAGGAGGTTGCGATGCCACCCTCAGTGACGCTCATGGTAGGGCCGATTGGGGGGTTGGGGCACCACCCCCTGTCACACTCAAGGCAGGGTTGATGGGGAGGTTGCGGCACCACCCCCTGTCATGCACAGAGCAGGGCCAATCAGGGGGTTGGGGCGCTGCCCCCTGTCACGCACAGAGAAGGGCCCATCAGGGGATTGGGGCTCCGTACCCTGTCACGCACAGAGCAGGGTTGATCAGGGGGTTGGGTAGCTCTCCCCTGTCACGCATGAGCAGGGCCCATCAGGGGGGTTGGGGAGCTCCCCCCTGTCACGCACAGAGCAGGGCCCATCAGGGGGTTGAGGAGCTCCCCCCTGTCACTCACAGAGTAGGGCCGATAGGGGAGTTTGGGCACTGCTCCCTGTCACACACAGAGCAGGGTGGATCAGGGGGTTGGGGCGCCGCCCTCTATCACCCACAGAGCAGAGCCGATCAGGGGGTTGGGGTGCCGCCACTGTCACACTCAGGGCAGGGCCAATGGGGAGGTTATGGCTCTACCCCATCACACACAGAGCAGGGACCGTGGCGGGGGGTGGGGGGAGTTTGGGGCGCTGCCCTCTATCACCCACAGAGCAGGGCCAATCAGGGGGTTGGGGTGCCGCCACTGTCACACTCAGGGCAGGGCCAATGGGGAGGTTATGGCTCTACCCTGTCACACACAGAGCAGGGCCTGTGGGGAGGGGGGGTTGGGGCGCCGCACCCTGTCACACACAGAGCCACAGGGAGATCAGGGGGTTGGGGAGCTCCCCCGTATCAGGCACAGAGCAGGGCTGATCAGGAGGTTGGGGCGTTTTCTCCTATCACGAACAGAGCAGGGCGGATAGGGTGGTTGTGGCCCCGCCCCCTGTCACACACAGAGCTGCAGGGAGATCAGGGGGTTTGGGCGCTGCCCCCTGTCACGCTGATCCCGGTGCCGGGAGGCCTCTAGGCTCCACTGATCCCGGTGCTGGGAGGCATATTACCCTTTTACTATATAGGATAGAGGCCTGGTGCATGGGTGGGGCTGGCTGGTTTGCCCTGAAGGGTGTCCTGGATCAGGGTGGGGGTCCCCACTGGGGTGCCTGGCCAGCCTGGATGAGGGGATGATGGCTGTTTGCAGCTGGTCACAGACCCTCAGGGTGGGGGTCCCCACTCGGGTGCCTGGCCAGTCTGGGTGAGGGGCTGAGGGCTGTTTTCAGTCTGGCGGGTGACTGAAGCTCCCAACTGCTCCTTTTTTTCTTTTTTCTTTTTATTCTGGGCCAGCATTAGCTCTGGCTCCAGCTCTGAGGCCTCTGCTGCTGAAAGCAGGTATCTGGTTTGTTTGGGTTCTATAATTGAAACAATTTATAACTCTAGCTCTGAGATCCCGGTGGGCTGAAAGCAGGTTTCTGGGGTTTTGTTTAGCTTCTATATTTGTTACAATGTTTCTTAAACTGCAAGCTCAGAGGCCAGCAAGGCAGGCGGGGAATGTTGGAGTCCTCCGTCACTGAAGCAAGCAAGCCCCATGTTAGCTTGAAGCTGCCTGGCTGCCGGCCGCCATCTTGGCTGGCAGTTAATTTGCATATCACCCTGATTAGCCAATGGGAAGGGTAGCGGTCGTACGCTAATTACCATGTTTCTCTTTTATTAGATAGGATAATAGAAGTGTAATATGCTAATTAGACCAGACAGCCAAATGACCTTCCGGATGTCCTTCTGGGTGACCTTCCGGATGAAGCTGGGGCTGCAAGGGCTGAGGCAAGCTGCCACGGCTGCTAGGGCCGAGCCCCTTGCACAAATTTCATGCATTGGGCCTCTAGTATATAGATAACAGCCTAAGTGACTGTTCAACCATTTGATCGGTAGCTATGATCTGCACTGACCACCAGGGGGGCAGACACTCAATGCACATGCATGGAAACATGGAACAGACTGAAGAATCTCAGATGGAAGGGGGAAGAGCTGAGGGTGGGAAGAGATTAACCAAATCTTATATGTATATTAGAGGCCCGGTGCATGGATTCGTGTACCAGTGGGGTCCTTCTGCCTGGTCTGCAGGGGTTGTGTAGAAACTGGCAGTCTGACATCCCCCAAGAGGTCCCAGATTGTAAGAGGGCGCAGGCCAGGCCAAGGGATCCCACTGGTGTATGAATCCATGCACCAGTCCTCTAGTGTAATTATAAATTTGTCCAAACCCATAGAATGTACAACAAGAATGAACTGTAAGATAAACTACAGACTTGGTGATAATGATGTGTCAATATAGGTCCATCAGTTATAACAAGTGTACCACTCTGGTGGGGGAGGTTGACAATGGGGAGGTTATACATGCATAGGGGCAGGAAGTATACGAAACATTTTTGTACCTTCCTCTCAATTTTGTTGTGAACCTAAAACTGCTCTATAAAATAAAGTCTTAAAAAAAACAACAACTGCTTGCTGGTGTGTGTCAGTGGATGAGTACTGACCTATGAACCAGGAGTTCATGGTTCAATTCCTGGTCAAGGCACATGTCTGGGTTGTAGGCTGGATCCCCAGTGAGGGGCGTGAGAGGAGGCAGCCGATTAATGATTCTCCCCCATCATCAATGTTTCTCTCTCTCCCTTTCCCTTCCTCTCTGAAATCATTAAAAATATATTTAAACAAAAACAAAACAACAACCTATTTGTTCCTTTGATTGAGAAAAATGGCTTTTTCCAATGCCTCTTTATGCTACTTGAATAAGGAACTGAATGACAAGATAGCATAATGCAACTGATCAATGTTTCTCTGTCACAATGATGTTTGTCTTTCTCTCCCTTCCTCCTCATATATATATGGTAAAAATATCATTTTTTAAAAATGGGAAATCTCATTATATGAGGTATTATTTATAAAACATTTTCATTCATTTTTTCCTTGAAACAAAACAAAGCAAAAACTTTTTTTCCTGTTTCCTTCGAGTTAATCATTTGGGCAATATCAACTTTGACATTTTCCTGGGTTTTGAAAAACAAACTAAAAAGATGATGTAAAATTATGCAAATACAGAGTTGGACAAAAGTAGGTTTATAGTTGTTCATGTGGAAAAACACATGCAGGTTATGATTATTATAATAGTTTTATTAACTCAAAAGAATAAACTCTGTGTTTCACATACAACCATAAAGCTACTTTTCCCCACTCTTGTATATTCTTTATTAGTATTGCCTATGAAATTATGAATATTTCATAACTTCTTTTAAGGATTATTGGAATGTGATGATAGTTTCCAAATAGCACATTAATGCTTGGTTTGAGATATGTAAACTACTAGTGTCAACTTAACAAAAATAGAGGTATAAAGTAGATGAAATGTCCTATGCTTTATAGTGGACAAGCTAATCATTAAGAAATATAAGGAAAAATCATCTCTCACAAATTGGAAACACTTACCAAAGAGAAGGCCTGTGTGTTATGGATAGCAAGGAAATTCCAGCCCCCTTTGCAGCCTGAAATATCTTTCCTTCAACATCAATGCTGACAGCACTGGTACATTCATCCAGCAATGCATATTTTGGTCTTTAAAAAATAAACACAAATAAATGAATGATTTTCCTATTTGGATGAGAAATCTTTATTTCAGTATGAGTTGCGATGTTACCTTTAAAGGAGCAAAATAGTCTATGACATATCAAAGGTGATAAATGATAAAGCAAAAGAGCAGTCATCCTTCCACCCCCCTGTTTGGACCAGAATATAATATTCTTCTTAAATTTTAAATAGATTTTCTGAAGCCTTCTCACAGTACATTAAGCTTTATTGTTACGCAGATGGGTGAGTCATATATGGGAGGTGTAGGAAGATGAGGCTGGTCACGGAGTGCTTTTTCTACCGAAGGCAGGCTCATTCTTGGTGACAAGGTTCTAACTAATTAAATGAAAAATATATTACAGTAGCTAATTATCAAACAAACCACAGCCCTGTTAGAAAAGATTTACTAAGAAGATAATTTTATCAACATTGTGAGTACCTAGTCACTTACTAATAAGAATCTCATTGCTATAAGATTCTGCAAAAGTAAGTATGCCTAATCTGACAAGTTTAGAGTAGGTATATAACTTGGTAACATTGTGACCTTGCTTCACAATCAAATTCTTAGGGGGAAAAATCAGTTAATATTTTTTCTGATTGTACTCAACAATTTTGTTTTTTGCTAGCTCAATTTTTACTCGGGAAATGACTTTCTACTCCTATCAGAGGCACCTATCACTTACCACCATTTTCATCTGTTTATTCTCTTCCTTTCACCTTACTCCCCTACTCTTTCTTTTGCCTTTACCTTATTTCAAACCTGTCTGGACTTTAGGGATGTATTTGGTACTCAGCAACATGACTTAGCTTTATTAAGAGGACCAAGGATGAGCCTTAGCCGGTTTTGCTCAGTGGAGAGAGCGTAGGCCGGCAGACCCCCCTACCTGGGCCCTGGTCAGGGCTCATGCAGGAGGCAACTAATCAATGTGTTTCTCTCACATCAATGCTTCTGTCTATCTTTCCCTCTCTCTTGCACTCTCTCTCTAAAAATCAATGGAAAATATCCTCAGGTGAGGACTAGAGAGAGAGAAAGAGAGAGACAGAGAGACAGAGAGAGAGAGAGAGAACCAAAGATCAAATCATGCACTGTCATTTATTATTTACTTCAGGGCTGAAAATCAGTATCAAGTATTTACCAGGACAATTTCCTCCATGACGATACTGTTTTTTAGAAATAAATGACAATGGAAAGATAAAAATTGAAACCAGTAGTAATCTCTCATTCAGCATAAATAGTTACTTAGCACTGTAAAGTCATTTTCTATGATGGGTTTGCTTTTTAATAAGATCCTGTACCTACTTGTTGGAAGGGGGAGTAGTCAAAGCAATTTTAACACGCCATTTTTTTATTTTTCTTAAATATATTTTATTGACTTCAGAGAGGAAATGAGAGGGAGAGAGATCAGCTGCCTCCTGATTGAGCCTGCAATCTGGGCATGTGCCCTGACTGGGAATCAAACCGTGACCTCCTGGTTCATAGGTTGACACTCAACCACTGAGGTACGCCACCTGGCACCACCATTTTACTTTAATAACTGCTTTCCATGCAAAGAACTAAAAAATCACTGCCAGTTCCCATGACGTCTACAGATGCAGTTTTGCTTTTTGGCTTTTGGTTACTGCTCTGGTTTAAGTATTAAGCATTACTTTTTTGTCTCAGAGTTGATCACTGTTTTATGGATGACATTTTTTTAATTGGAAGAGAGGGGCAAAAAGGAAGTATAAGAGAGAGGTTTGGCTTCCTGTTATAAAATAAGTCATGAGGATGTAATCTATGGCATAAGGAGTAAAGGTGATAATATCGCCATAACTTTGTATGTTGTCAGATGGCTACTAGGCTTATTGTTGTGATCACTTTGTAAGGTATGTAAATGTTGAATTACTATGTTGTACACCTGAAACTAATATAATACTGTATGTCAATTATAATTTTAAAATAAATTAAATTTTTAAAGATTTAATAAAATTATAAAAAAAGAGATGGATTGGGATAAAATTTTCTTCTTGGAAATCTCTCGAGTAATAAAGCTACTTATTGTATTATGTCTTATTTTTAGAATGCTTTGAGCTAAACAGAGCAGAGAAGCCATTTTAGAATTAGAAAAAAGTATATATCTTATACTGTGTTGTCATAGCAACCCCTAGTCTAGCAGATGTAAGATAGATTGCACACTGTTGTTTCTGTGGCATGACTGCTGTGTGTGTGTGTGTGTTGCGTGTGTGTGTGTGTGTGTGTGTGTGTGTGTGTGTGTGTGTTTGTGGTGTACTGAAATATAGTAAGCAATAGCTGGAATCTGGGACTGATATAACTAAGTAAAACATTAGATAATAGGGTTTCTCAGATTTTCCTCCTTTTTCTTTTGGTGTCATCAGAAGAGTGAGCCTTGCAAAAGATCTAGTCTATCCCCATTAAGACAGAACTATATTGATCATGCTTTAAACATTAAAAATCCTTTCAAAAAGAGTATATAATTGTGATATTGAATACTCCCTGCCAAAGTTCTCCATTTTAGCTAGCTCCGTTATTTCACATTGCAATTCAAATATTTTTATTAATTCCTTGAGAATGAGGGGAGGCAGTTTCTCATTATTATACTTTTCCTTCACTGTGTTTAACATTTCCATTTCATTTTATTTTTTCTCAATAGGTTCTGCTTTTCAACAACTTCATCATCTTCATGGTCACTAAATTTTTTTCCACTGGTGTACTTGTAACTTAATCTTTATTCAGTCTCATATACAAAATATTTTAGATACACAAATAAGTATCAACTATTTATTTCAAGTTATGGGTACTTGAAACCTCTTTTGGCTGGCATCTTTCATTAATGCCTCTTGCTCTTTATTACATGGTTTATTTTATTAACAAACTTATGCAGTGAGAAATTTGCGGTCACATTTTACATTCCATTATATTACATTTCACCAACTATGCTGGTGATCATATTACTGAATATTTATGGACAGAGTGCAAACAGATTCAGGGTGATAGTGGGTAACAGCTGGTCATAAATGTCAAACTGTAAAGTTTACATTTGAATCTTACCACATCAGCTGAGAAAGGGGCATTACCAAATATACTTCACTGAAAATTCTAAGGTAGCAAATTTTGGCTCACTTTTTTAGCTTGTCATGTTCTTTAACCATGTACATTAATATAAATACAATATTTTTAACACAATAATTTTTTCCATTAAAAATTCCAGCTAGATGCAAAATTAACACATACTGGCTGATTTAATTTATATGAAGTTGTAGAACAGGAAGAACTAATTTATGATGGTAGAAATCAAAACAGAAATTACCTAAGTGGGGATCTGACTGGAAATGGGAATGAGGGACTTTCTAGGGTGACAGAAATGTTCTCTATCTTACAGGTATTGGTTACACAATGTATCATACATTTAGCAAAAGCCATTGAATGTATACGTAAGGTCTGTCTGTGCATTAGGTACATAAAATATCACAATAATAATATTTTTTTAAAAAAAATCCTGGCTAGCTATTGCATAATAATACACATAAAGGTTTGCAAAATAAAAAGAGAGTCCTGACCGCTGTTGCTCAGTGGTTAGAGTGTGAGCCTGTGCATTGGAGGGTCTTGGGTTCGATTCCCAGTCAAGAGCATGTACCTGGGCTGCAGGTTTGCTCCCCACCCACTGTTGAGGTGCATGTGGGAGGCAACCAAATCATGGATCTCTCTCACATCAATGTTTCTCTCTCTCTCCTTTTTCTTTCTTCCTCCCCCCTCCCTTCCACTCTCTAAAATATCAATGGGAAAAAAAAATCCTCAATCCTCGGGTGAGGATTAAAAAATAAACAAGTAAATAAATAAATAAATAAATAAATAAATAAACAAATAAAAATTTTAATATACTTTATGAAAATAGTTACATTAAAAAATCAAGATAATACCAGCTTTTGTGCATCAACAAGATTGAGAAGAAGCTATTTCTAAATTTTAAGTGTTATAAGTTAATGAGATGACAGATTTTTTTCTTCTTTTAGTTTATCTAAATTTTCTACTGTTATGAAAAGGAAGTATAAGAGATAGGGTTTGGCTTCCTGTTATAAAATAAGTTATGAGGATGTAATCTATGGCATAAGGAGTAAAGTTGATAACATTGTCATAACTATGTATGTTGAATGTATAATCATATTTTAATGGACTTGTTTAAATATGTGCTTTTTCCAATGTTAAACTTTGAATATGAATCAGGTGACTTTAAATAATTGTCATCAATTTTATTATATACAAAATATGGTATGTTATTATGTACAAAAGTATCCTAAGATTGCTGGTACTGATGCCAAAGTATAAAGTTCTCTACAAAAGTATTAATGCTTCCACTGCAATTCCTTCAGGAGTATTGCATTGCCCCAGCTTATGGCCCATTCATGTATTCACATATGTAAATGTAATTCTTGGTCCTTTTTGACCAAGATGTAAGGACTAAAAGCGAGTTACATATTTTCTGATGACCTCCTGCTTTGCATACAACTCAGGTTCTCATTATCAGAAGTCTAAGGGGAAAAAAAGATATTTCTTTTTTAGGGAATAATAGGACAGGCAAGATGGATAAAGCAGAATAGCTTTTTTCTTTCTAGTGTCCTGTGCCTGGTATCTTTGAAGTCCTATGAATCTGACGCTGGTTGCAAAGAAAAAAATTTTATCAGGAGAAATTATTTTCTGAATCTCTTTTTATCACAGTCCATTAAGACCTACACTGGCTGGTTCCTTTTTCCACTGGATATGCCTCTAATTTTTGAGGAGGGGAGCATAATTAAATGTAATAGGATACTGAGTGGTTGAAAAATTAATGTAGTTTGAATTTAACAATTTAATTCAGAAATATTACTGAATGCCTACCTACTGTGTTCACAACAGTAAATAGTGGTTATGTATTCTTTACAATTTAAAATTAATACAATCCTACTTTCAAACTTAGAATACATAAAAATTTAATTTTGTCATCTAACATTAGTCGTCATAAAAGAAACAGAAAAAAGGACTTGGCAATTTCTGTCACATAAAAACATTCAAACTGTAAAGTCTAAGCACTCATTTTTCAGTGAGAAACTTTTAAACTAAAGATGAGGACAGTGAAGGTTTTTTTTTGTTTTTTTTGTTTTGTTACATCAATGGAATAGCAGTTTCCTGAGAACAGCACACTCACCTATGGTAAAACATTCGAGCCATGCCCATTCTTTGCTTCTCCCCTCCTGATAGGACATCTTTCCAGTCCATAATAGCATCCCATCCTTAAAAAAATAAAGATACATATTTTATAAAGCAGTCGTTTGTTACAGTTTTGGACAGGTGATTCTGGCAAGTTTGTTAACACAAAGAACCTGGTATTTTACACAGAACACATGATTGGTGAACTAGAGAGCCTCATGTATAAGCATTTTGTTTTAGATATGATATTTTGAATGATAATTCCTTTTGCTGACAAATCATCTTCTAAGAATTTGAAATACTTACACTCTTAAAATTTATTTGTTTCTGAATATGTCCAAAGAGTTGGTATAGTTATACCTATTTTGCAGGGTGTTGGGAGAAAAGACCAACACATTTGCATAGGCCTATTGCAAAGCCTACCAAGAGTAAGGCAGGAACTAACGTAAATGCTTCCCTGTGTCTGGCACTTTATATGAGTTTTCTCATTAATATTCCACAATCTTGTAAGGTAGATATTATTAGTTGCATATTATAGATGGGTACACTGAAACTCCTGGAATAATTGACATGTCTAATTTTACACAGCCAGATATCAGATTGGTACTTATATACAGGTCTATTTTCATGCTTGTACAGTTTATTTATGCCACATATCCTACAACTTCTTAGTTACTGACTTTCTGTTGGATATTTATTCAAAAAAAGCAATGCTTCTATTTTTAAAAAACAGTTTAGATCTACACATACTGATATAAAAATATACTCAGAATTTTTTTAAATGAAAAACCAAATTGCAGAATTATGTGTGCCATTTTCCTTCCAGGAAATTTCTATTTATTTAAAACTATATCCTTATATTAGGAAAAAATGCCATCTAATTCGAAGTTCTTGCATCTAGTGAAAACTGTTGACATAATATTTCTTCTGTGACTGAATCTTTAGAACATTTTTCTTATTCTTTTAAACAATATGTTTTTATTGGTTTCAGAGAGAGGGAGGAAGAGGGAGAGAGAGAGACAGACAGAAACATCTATCTGCTGCCTCCTGCACGCCCCCAACTGGGATCGAGGCTGAAATGTTGGCATGTACTCTAACAGAGAATCAAACAGGCGATCTCTTAGTGCGTGGGCTAATGCTCAACCAACTGAGCCACACCAGCTGGGCTCTATGACTGAATTTTATAGTATTTATGAAACATAAGTGAGCACTTGAAAACTAGGTTCAGATTACTACTGTGTGGATAAATATTCTGCGCTTTAAAAATATTTCTCCCTTGCCACCTTAGAAGACAAAAGTATTTGGGTCAAGAGAAGTTTTAGCTTTACATATTTAAATAAATCATGTCCTTTGTTCCACTAAACCCAAAAGTTTTAGCAGGCAATACTGCTTAATCTCAGAACAGTTAAATCAGAACTTAAGTCATATTATCACCTCTGATATTGATTTAGAGAGACTAAGACAGCTAAGAAGAGAATGGTTTTCCTGCTACCTAGAGATGTACAAACTGCTTTATTCACGTCCATTTGTTAACACTTCTTCTTTCTATTTTGTAAACTCTTTGATGGAATGAAACATAGTTTTTAATTACATCTTTTACTAAAGCAAAACATTTCTCTAAGCAAAATATTAGGTAGTCTAAACAGGCCTTCAGTAGGCTTCTTCCAAGTAAGTGATGACCTTGCAAATGAAAGTGCTTTCTTGCTTCGCTTAAAAACACATTTCATGTTTTAAGGGTTAGGCAAGTAAAGTGGGTTTCCTTGGAATTTTTTGATGTGTAAGGATATAACAATTCTCACTAGTACCCAGGAAGCTAGAAGATAACATAGCACAGTGGAATAGCATAGTATAGAACATTGACTTTCAAGTATGGTCTGTGGTTGAATCCCTGTCTCACCACCAGCTATAGGGAATGTATTAAACGTTAGTCAAACCCACATCATTTGGAAGTTATAAACATGAAATAAATTGACAATGTAAATTGCTTAATATGTTGTATTCTGCATAGTAAGCACTCAATAAACCATTATAATTATGATTTCATTATTAAGGTTGGGACATTATTAAAAACAGTTCTAGAACTTCTTGATGACTTCTAAAAAATAAAATACCCCACATTTATCATATGTTTCTATTTGGATTATTAGATTTCAAACTTATCCAAAATAACTTACCCAAGATTAACAGGCAGTATATTCTGGCACAGTGTTTTAGAAATGGGAAGGAGTTGACCATATGAAACAAAAAGACAACCTGCTTTCCATGTTGGTAGCATCTATAAATTATGATATTACAAACAACATAAAAGTAAATATAATAATACCTCTGTTATCTGCCTCATTTGTTTTTTTGTGGAGATCAAATGAAATAATATATGAGAAATTTCTGTGTAAAATATCAAGTACCATCACACAAAGACAAAATACTGTATCAATATTACAACTAGTAATAGTGCCATTAGCTACTAATTCTTGTGCATTTACCATGTGCTACTGTTCTAAACGCTTTACATTGTCTTATTTAATCTTTTCAGAATCCTTATGAGGTAGATATTTACAGTTGAAGGTAGAAATAACCGTGTTAATTAAGACTTCATTCCAAAACTTTTACTTCAAAGCTTATATGCTTAGTCACTGTACTACCCTGCTTCTTCTGATCATGGAAAAGGGCAAGAAAATAAAATCCTTGCAAAATTAAACCTAGAAATAAAGCTTGTTATTTCAGCAGTTTTTCTAGGCTATCACGTTATATGTTATCAAGTTATTTGAAAGTCTGACCATTATAAAGCAATTCTTTTTTAAGCTCATATATATGACTTTTAATCCTATTCTTTCAAAAATATTTTATGCTGAAAAACCACAGTACAGAAGTTTCTGTATTTTATCTAATTCTCTATATGCTGCTTGAAAGAAAAAAATGTATTGGTAAGACTGCGGGTCTAAAACCAAAAAAGAAGTTTTATGACAATTATTTCTTAAATTATTAATTTTAATGTAAGCCAAACTTGACAGGAAAATATATCTGTCATAAACTTTACATATATCTAGATTGACAGTGGCCTCTGGGACACTTGTACATCCAAATATGAAATAATAACTGTTTTAAAGTGCCAGCATATAACATAAGCAGAAATGGATGTCAATAATAGAAAAGCCCTAAAAGCTGTTTTTCTTTACTTGTGTGCTTATATTCCAAAAATAGCATATATTCAAATTAAACCACAGACAATCTACCCATTTATTTTTAAAAAACAAAGTTAAGTACGTTAAACAAAAGAATGACAGAGCTTTACCTCCTTCTCTTTGAACGATGTGATAGAGGTGGACATTGTGTAGGATACATTCCAGGTCGTGGTCTGTGTAGCCTTTATCACGCATGTCATCCACTGAATCAGGATAGATGACTTGATCCCGAAGACTTCCAAGAGACATGTATGGCCTATGAAACACCAAGCACACAAGAATCCTAGTACAACATCATTTCAGTTTACTCAGTGTGACATCCCGGTGGTCTGAAAACGCCACTGCAGACCTTACATACCACATTTCTAGTGTTGTATTTGTTGCCTAGTGATGAGTATTCTTCTCTCAGGCACGGCAGGATAATACACTGCTATGTTCATGTACAGATTTACTGAAACATAGCCACAAATAAAGTTCTATTTCAAATCTAACAAGAGATAGTTGGATAGTGTCAGCAGCAGAAACACATGCATGTTTCACTTTATTTTATAAATGTTGCTTCTGTATTTCATCAAATATTATTTAGGTTAACTATTATAAAATTTAAGATTTTGACCCAGCAATGTGAACAAACAAAACTTTTCTTTAAAAAATGGTATCCAAAATAAGAGAAATGCAAATTAAAACTACCCTGAGTTACGTACTTGTACTTATCAGATTGGCAGAGTTTCAAAAGCTCATCAACTCACTCCAACCTCTGAAGAAATAGGTTCGCTCATACAGTGGTGAAGGTGTGAAATGGTACAACCCTTTGGAGGGAATTTGGCAAACCAATATATCACTTGACTTTTGATTACTTCTAAGAATTTACTCTAAAGATATACTTCCAAAAACACCAACAGTAACTAAAAAAAGTGCATACTGTTATCCATTCAGATTATTTGTAATTACAAAAGATTGAAAACAACCAACATGTTCATACAAAGGAGACTAAGTAAATTATAATACCTGCCTCTTGTAGCTATAAAACAGGATGTGAAAACCTTTGGAAATCGATAGAATGATTTCCATAAGTTATTGTGAAGTTCCAAAAAAAGTGCAAAAGTAGATGTATAGCAGGTTTTCTCAACAGTTCCATCATGAATACACTGAACTACATACTAGTATTTCTTTGTTGTTGAGGGCTATCCCGTGTACCGTAGGATGTTTAGCAGCATACCTGGTCTCTGTCCATTAGACACTAGTAGCATCCGCTACAGTAATGATAAAAAAAATTCTTCAGATACTGTTCCCTGGGGGGACAGAACCATCCCCATTTGAGAACTATTGATCTATACATTCATCCCGATATCTGCAGGGGGTAGGGATTGGTTCCAGGGCCCCTTGTGGATACCAAAATCCTCAGATGCGTAAATCTCTTATGCAAAATGGAGTATTTGCATATAACCTACAAACATCCGCCTGTATTTCTTAAATCAGTGATGGCAAACCTTTTGAGCTCGGCGTGTCAGCATTTTGAAAAACCATAATTTAACTCTGGTGCCGTGTCACATATAGAAATTTTTTGATATTTGCAACCATCGTAAAACAAAGATTTATATTTTTGATATTTATTTTATATATTTAAATGCCATTTAACAAAGAAATATCAACCAAAAAAATGAGTTCGCGTGTCACCTCTGACACACGTGTCATAGGTTCGCTATCACTGCCTTAAATCATCTCCAGATCACTTGTAATTTCTAATACAATGTAAATTCTATGTAAATAGTTGTTACACTATTGTTTTCCTTGTAATTACAAGGAAAAAAGTCTGTACATGTTCAGTACAGACAAGCATAATGACATACAATACCCATGAGCAACAACATAACACTTATAAACATTTTTGATCCACGGTTGGTTGAATCTGCAGATGTGGAACCTGCAGGTACAGGTGGCTGACTGTAATATGCCACCTTTATGTAAAATTAAATTAAGAAAATACATATTGTATGCATATATGCATAACCTGTGGACACAGACAATAGGGTAGTGAGAGCCTGGGGGAGGACGGCAATGGGAGAGGGCTTGAAGAGGTTAATGGAGGGGAAAGGAGGATCTATGTAATACTTTCAACAATAAAGATTAAAAGGAAAAAATAAAATACATATTTATCTGCTTATTTTTACAAGGAGAAACACAAGAAGGTTTTGCTTATATTTACAAAAGGAAACGCAGTAAACCAGAAACTAATGAAATTGATTACCTGCTGGAGATGGGAGGACCAAGTCAGATTGGATTTTGGGAAGAGTGACCTAAGAATCCTTTCTACGTAATTTTTACTTTTAGGCTGGATACAGCCCAAGTGCCCATCAGTAGACGAGTGGATAAATATGCTGTGGTACACTTATACCATGAAATACTATGCAGCAGTGAAAAAGAAGGACCTTTTACCCTTTGAGACAGCATGAAGGCGCCTGGAGAATATTATGCTAAGTGAAATAAGCCAGTCAGAGAAAGACAAGTATCACATGATCTCACTCATATGTGGAATCTAATGAGCAAAATAAACTGATGAACCAAATATATCCAGAGACATAGAAGAATAGAACAGAATGTGAAATCTCAGAGAGGAGGCAAGGGGAGGGTGGGTGGTTGGGAAGTGATCAAGCAAAGAACTTGTATGCATGTATGCATAATCCATGGACACAGACAATAGGTTGGTAAAGGCCTGGGGAAGGAGGTGAGGGCAGGCTAGAAGGGGTCAAGGGGGAATAAAAGGGACATACATAATACTTTCAATAATAAGTATTTTTTTAAAAAAGAAAAGGCTGATGAAATTATACAAGAATCTATATATATAAAAGCCTAAGTAACCAGCCGATTGGCCGGTAACTATGATGCGCACTGACCACCAGGAAGCAGATGCTCAACACAATAGCGGAAACCATGGGCATGAAAACATGGAACAGACTGATGAATCTCAGAGGGAAGAAGGGAGGGGAGAGGGTAGGAAGAGATTAACTGAATACTAGAGGCCTGGTGCACAGATTTGTGCACTAGTGGGGTCCCTCCGCCTGGCCTGTGGGGATTGGGCCGAAACTGGCTCTCTGACTCTACCAAGAGGTCCTAGATTGTGAATCTGTGTACCAGGCCTCTAGTATTTTATGAAATTATATATTCATTAAAGATAACAAATATTGCTTTATTAAAGTGCCATTTCTCTCAATCATTGCTTTATATTATGTAAAATGGTAAAAACAGTACATCATCTATGTGTTTAATGAGGTAAACAGAAACTAAGGGTACTCTAATAGGTTTTGTTAATGTATTTATTTAAAAATATTATTATGAAGTTAAAGTTACCACAGAATCCTCTAGAAAGGCTATGTCAAGAAAATGTGGTATGATGTTGAATCTATTTTGAAAGCACAAGGGAATGGAGGACCCTATATCCAATGTTTATATGATTAGTTGCATGTGATCCTTTTTCCAACTCAAAAGCCTGGAATTTAACATGTTAACTAGCTCAGGTTTCTCTAGTCCTACTAAAGTTATACATAATTAAAGTAATCTGTACTAAACTTTCCTTTCTAGATTTATAGACCTATCCAAATTATCTTCTAATTATTTCAGGTAGATCAATGACCATATCAGAATGTTATTAGCTTACTTGCTCGGGCTCATCAGGAAGAGAATCATGCAACATACAAAGTATAAGCAACAACCAAAAAATATATTGCTTATAATTAGTAGCTATCAACAGAGAAACACTAACTACTTTTAATTTACTTTCTCTAAGTAAAATTCAGGATCACTTCTATTTGTTGTGAAAAAAAAACAACACTGAGGTAAACCCATAGGTATCACATTATAACTTAAATAATTATTATTATTTTTTTTATTTTTTATTTTTTTAAATATATTTTATTGATTTTTCACAGAGAGGAAGGGAAAGGGATAGAGAGTTAGAAACATCGATGAGAGAGAAACATCAATCAGCTGCTTCGTGCACGCCCCCTACTGGGGATGTGCCTGCAACTGAGGTACATGCCCTTGACTGGAATCGAACCTGGGACCCTTCAGTCCGCAGGCTGACGCTCTATCCACTGAGCCAAACCGGTTAGGGCATTATTATTATTTAAACAGCTATCATAGTTGTTTTTCTATATGATCTAAAATTCCTTCAAATGCATGTATAATTAAAGCTGTTCATTGTAACAGTAAAGTTAAAATACAAATGTTTGAGATCACTTCCATTCCCAGTGATTATGGCTTCTTATAGTTATTACAAATGTCTCAAGGTACGTTTGTAATTGGTTTTATATTCCCCACCTTTTTGTCCACTTAAATATCGACAATTTATGGTTGTTTTGGTAAAATGTACTGACATTTATTAGGGTTTATAATTATATAGTTTTATATTATTCTCTATTTTTCTACTTAATAGGGGCAAAGGCAGAAAGAAGAAAAAAGCATACAAAAATGTTAACTTTGCACTTGGAGTTTCTAGAATCATTACCCAAAATGCTAAATATTTCATAGTCATCTAGGTTTTAATTGTGAACAATACTGATCAAAGTTTCACTGCAATTTAACTATACTTAAGGCATGTGCTAAGTTTAAGAATAAGGTACAGCAAAGAACTACTATGCTGCCATAGTAATAAGAAGTTAGCAATCTGAAAGCCATAAAATCTAGCTATTAATAATTCATGTAAATGTACATGCTGGAACTGATCTGTCATCAAATTTTTTTCATGAACAGCAAAAATAAGATTTGAGTACTCAATTCATAAGTCATTTCTAATATTCTTAAAATAAGTATGTAGCAAAGAAAAAGAAATACTCAACTGAAAAGAGATAGTTACTTATTACTGAAATTATATTTTTAGGATAAGATATTTCTAGGTGCCAGAGCAGAACTGTGTGCTTCCTCTTAGGAGCAGGGACTGTGTTCATTTCCAACTAATACAAATAATATTAGTGGAATTATCAAAGTATCAGTAAGCTAATGAGAATACAAATTTTTTAAGAGTCAACTTTGTTAAGAGTATTTATCATTATATTAGATTGCTGTATAAAATTTCTGATATTTTGATCTTTAAAAATTACCAATTCCACATGGCTTACTCTAATAATTGATTCATGAAATGAGAAAAAACTTTTAGATACAATGAAATATTTTTTCCATTACTATTTTTAAAAATTGGCCCATAGAAGAGTTACATATGAAAAAGGCAACATTTTTCCAAACAGTAGAAAGCAATAGAAA